TATATATATATATATATATATATCTTTGTGAACCAAAAGCAATAACACAATCTTTAGCACAATGTTTAACGATTTCCTAAAAACTATCATAACTTAAGAAGAATTAATTTTATCCGAAAAAGGAAAATCCAAAATATGCAAAGTAATCTGCAGTACTTCGAATTTAGAAGAAAGGTAGTATAAATGCAAGAAATTAAAGCAGTAGTTACTGAGAAAAATGGAAATATTGACTTCAGAACAGAACTGATCAGTACTAAAAATAAACTGACGATTACTTTTTAAGGTTGCTAATAATTATTTTTCCTACAAATAATGTCTACACCTCATGATTATCATTACTTTTTTCTCATCATTCACCTCCAAATTTCACCATCTAATAAATAATATACTTTCGACTCGACAATCTGCTACCACTAATACTATCTAACATAAAGCATTAGTCATTACTACCAACTATTAACGAATGAAAGCTTACTAATACCTTTGCCCGATTGCACGCCGACTTACTTATACCGCTGCCTGTTTCCGCGCCTATTTACTATTATTGCTACATAAACTGCCTTTATTTGTTACAACTAAGTTACAGTATTGCAACAATTTACTGATGCTATTTGCTAGCAGCAACTGTTATGCTTACTAACTACTACTTAGCATATATCACAACCGATTTGAACTTGGAATTCAGAATTCCAGTAACTACTACTGTCTTACCCAGAATCCGTAGCAGACGTGAATGCGATGCTTTCGAGCGTATCGATTGAATATATGCCTCAACGTAATGAGATATACTTCGATATACTACAATGAGATCTTCGCGTAACAGTATGGAAGTTCGTTACTATTCCATCCCAACTCTATTACATATCATTGTCCATCTCTGCATCGAATTTATTATCCGGTAAATCATACGTTCGCTTCTCGGTTTGGACTGCCATCAACCTATTTTGACCAGTGATGCAACCTCTACCAGGATTACTTTATGTCTCTTTTTACCGCACATATCTGTATATATAGAGGAATGCTGGGTGTAAAATAGAGACTTCCTCGCATTAAAATGAAATATATGCTATCTACTTTGTTTAAAAATTTAAATTTGATACAGTTGTCTTCATAGCTCATGGTGTATACATTTACAGCATTTGGTACAACTAGTGATTTTCAGTAATGTGTTACTCCCTTTTGTTTGCCAAGTATTATGCAGTCCAGCACTGTTTATTTTCCATTTTCAATTGTTTCTTTAATATTATTTTTTAGCCCAAAATTTCCAAATCATTCAATACCATTACCAATGATTCAGTTTTTGAGGGGAAACTTTGGAAAAAAAGTTCGGGAGGTTGATAAGTTTGGAGCAGATGCCATCGCAAATAATAAGTTCGAAAATCAAATGATTTTCAGCTGAACTCAACTTAATTTTATTAGGATTATTTACACCTTTCGCACGCATTATTTTCCACACTAAAAGGCCAACCGGTTACTTTAACCTTTAGCAAGTCAGTTCAAGCTCTTATCATACAAAGCAAATGTTTTCTATTGGGACTTTAATTATTTATTAATTTATTCGCTTACTGAAGTTTTTCTTAATCTTTTTAAACAATTTCACATTGTCTTGTCTCTACGTAAAGCATTTAAAAAATGATCTGAATCATCCGATATTGAGCGGAATTTTAGACATATAAATGCTAGCAACATTGCTTCAAACTCCGCAAGTTCAGGTACAGATGTTTTCATTTCTTTTTTTGAATATTCTATCGAGCTTTTATTTCATTAAATGATACACTGCTTATTACTAGTTTTCTAAAAGAACTATCCAAGTATTCAAAACTTCTGTTTTAATTAGTCATAAAACCGGTATAGTGCATAACCGTGAAAATCGCACCTAAATAATTTGTGAAAGTTTATTTTCGCTTATACCCGAAGTTCCCTTTTGATGACGTGTCAGACTCAGGCTTTAATGGTCCATATGGTTCAGATTTTACTAATGCGTGAAAGTCCAATCCTAATGATGCCTTATTTTTTAAATATTATACTGTGAATTTTTACGCATGAAATGCATTTTGGTAATCATAAGTCAACCTTCGATTCCGTCATTATCAGTTGTTCCGAAACTTTTGATACATAAGACTGTATTTTTATGATTCAGATTTTTCAGAAAAATCATATTTTACGCTCTAAAAATCAACATGCATCTGTGATGCTTTGAAGAATTGATAGACATAATATAAATGCCAGTAATTTTATTACTGTCTTCTTGGCGTTGTTAGAATTCTGCAATAATTAAAGTGCTGCTTTTGTTAAGTATTAGAATCTTTTCAAGCACTTTATTCAATTCTTAGAAGCTAAATCATGAAGCTTGTGAGTAATAATTTAAATGAAAACTAATTATTTTGACTACGAATAGTTTACTTAGTTTTATTTTATTTTTTAATGTTTTTTAAATAATATAAATCAGTGCGAACTGAAGAATTCTTGCTAGTTTTCAAATCGTTTGTATAACGAAAATAAAATAAAACTGATTGAAAATTTACACTTTTTTCTGTGACTGAATTGATTTCTTTTTGAAAATATTTCGCATCAGTAGTTACTTATGTGTATGCAAAAAAATGAATCTCAAATATTCAAAACTTGGAAGAAAATTTTTAAGTCTCAAAAAATGGGACAGATGTAAGGTAGTATCGTTATAATAAAGAATAAAAATCAGCACAATTTGTTGAAAAGTAAAAACAATTTGTCAGTGTCATTATAAATATCACTGGGAGTAACTTTTATTGTTTTTTCTTCACTTCAACTGCAATTTTATGCTGTTTCCAAGGAAGTTTTGCATATTTATTCAATATAATACTTTGCATTCCACTGATTTTCCAGAAATCACATAAGATCTCAATCTTAATCATTGTAGTCAAAGCTAGTTATTTTATTAAGATTTACGATTCGAAGCGCTTTTCGCTATTTTTACTCATTTTACTACTTCAGTTATGTTTGGCAGTAGCCAAACAGGTCGAATTGAAAAGATTTTGACTGTATTTATAAATTAATTAGAAAATGCTTTTAACTGTTTATTTTCAATGCAGTGATAACCATAATTGTATTGGAAATTGCGATGTGATATCTGCTTTGGGGACAAAAACTTTTCGTTGTATTCAAAAATTGCGGAATATGTCTCACTTTAATTTAGTTTTTTGAGTACATCACAATCGTTGACTGCGCAGACTTATCCTTCTTCATACCGGCTATCTTTTCATAGCTGCTAGGCAGAAAAATAAAGCGATGCAAGGAAATATTGCAATGGACAGTTTTGGAAATGTTCCTTGTGACTACTTGGCAAAATATTTGTGGAATTCTTAATTGCACTTTATCAGAAATTTAGCTATTTTTTGTATTTAATTCGACTCTTGCACTTTTTTCTATAATTTCTTTGCAACGTTAACACAATTTTCGGAATTTTGCTTTTGCGATTGAATCATTCAGTCATGAATCACAGTATATTCATAGCTTTGCAAGTTCTTGAAACAAATTCGATGTTTTGTAACTGTTGTATGAATATATAGAAAATTCTCAAAATTTCGAACTCAAAATATCAATTTTGATTAGCTTTGAAGGCTGAAATCATGGTTTAGAATTATATTCAAAAAAACTATAATTTTCGTTTAATGACGAAATCCCAGCGCTTCTTTAAAGTGAATTTTTAATGCCTTCAATACTGTATGGTCCTTTTAAGTACTGGGAACATAAAGCAGCACATATAAAGGATACAGGCACGTATTTTATGTGTACACATACACGTACAGTTGTATCTAAAATTTAATATTTGATAAGTCCGAAGTGACAGATGCACATATGCATAAGTATGCACTTACATATTCATTCGTACAAACAAGAAGGTATTCGTACGTACACATAGACATACACACATAAGAAATTAAATTTTTATAACTGATTGATAGTACACAAACGCAACGTGCATACACACAAGACTCACATCAGAAAGGCGTTAGGATTACGCAGCAATGCATCACAGTTTATGCTTCTTTACATGCTTTAATCATTCATTTACCTTAGCGAATTTCATCTTTCCTCACTTCATTAATCATCGCTTCTCACTTGTCGGATTCCTGAATTTCTACCATTAGTTGAGAGATAACTTTGTGTAAACACTTTGAACTTTTTATCATTTGCAAAGTTATTAGAGGAATTTTCCAAACAATATTTGTTAGTTATTGCTTTTAAGATTTTAAATATCTGATTAGATTTTTCACATCTTTAAAAATTTTTTAAACATAAAAATGGGTAGTTTGATTATTTTATAAATCATTTCCAGCATTTACAAGTATATTTCTGCACTGTTGTTATCAAAAACTTCATTTTGCATTAATTTTCTCAGTAATGAATGTTATTGTTGATTTCCAGATTTTTGAATTAAATAAGAATTAAATATGAATTGAATGAAATAAGAAATAATTGTGAACAGATATAGTATAATTTTTTGTTTTCACATTATTTCATGCTATTTTAATTCAAAATTTGGTTTTTATGAGTAAATAAGCAAATACTCAAGTTTTTACAGATGAGTCAAGCAAGCAGTTTTAATTTCCGATTAAAAATTTAGTATTTTGTGTTTATACTTTTCTACTTTTTGTTTCTCCAACTTTTCTAATAAATAAACTCCAAAGTATTCCGAATGCTTTTGAATAAATTTTTGGTAAAGATGTTTGAAGTTGAACAGTACTCATATGTTGAATGTATCCGTATTTATCAAAGAATGAAAACGCCAGAGAGATGATAAATATTAATAAATTGGAATCACTGCCACCAACAAATGAACGGAAGAATCGTCGATCTCGACGGGATGAAAATCGAAAACGTGGAGCAGCATCGAAAGCTGATCAGGTGATCACTCGTTACTCTACCTTTTCTTTCGAAGTCTAAAAGAAGTACCTTACTATAATCTACCGATGTGAGAGTTGGCTAAATACTTGGTCGAAATTAGTATTAATAATTTTATACTAAACTATACAAGGCGATTATTTTTAAATATAAGGTCTGAATAAGTCACTTATCACTCATTTATCAATACGTCAAAATGTGCAATTCACGAAAGATAGAAAAAAATTTCTGTACTAAGCAAATTATTTTGTTACTGCTTAGTACAGAAATTTTTATTCCAATAATAACACATATTCTAAGGTCTTTAGTTTTGCATTGCTTGCGCAATTTCTTCATTATTTTATTACATGTTCCGTGCCATTTTTTACGTGAAAACGATATCTTTTAGCTATGTAAAGGCATAAGTGAAAGTTACCTTTTGAGGTAACAGCTAACTCCCTTCGATTAGAAATTCAAAATCTCTATTAGTAATATTAACTTTTTAAGAAAGAACAATTAAAAATAATAAGAGTGAGTTAATTCATCCGAATAGATGCATTTGAGCTAAGTTGTTAAAACTTAAAGCAAAAATTTTTGCATCTTTTGTTGCTAATTATTTATTGCTAGAAACGAAAGGCTTTTGTTGCTAGGAAGAGGATTATTTTTGAAAGCACAAAGAACGAAAAGTTGTGTTTAATATTTTTAAATTAATTACTCATAAGTTGGTACTTATGACATCTATCGAAGACATCATTGTCCCTCGAGAAAAACCAGTCATCACAGTCACTCGCAGAAGATGACGACGTAGAGCGCAACTCTGTCACGTCAAAATCTGATCGGAAACGTCATTTAAGTGAAAGTAATTTAACCGTCAGTGCTCAAAAATCCAATGAACAGTTTAAGAAAGCAGAAACTGAAGCAATTCTTGCTAAGTTGGTGATGCTTCTTTACAAAATGAGTTAGTTACTACAATTTTATGCTCTAAAACAACAATAGTTAACAGCTATTTAGAAGCATCAAAAAATTTGGAAAATTTTTCTGCGCTATGTCGTTAGCTTATATTTAAATTACTACATAAAAACGAATCGAATTGGAATTTGAGTACTTTATTCACAAATATTTGCAGCTGCAGTAAATTATTTTAAAAGCAGGACTGACCATAGCTATTTTTCTGATCAATCAAATGATAATAAAATTGGTAATAGCTGTTTAATATTGTTATTAATTATTTAATCAAACAATATGGATAAGATAACAATAATGAAAATAACAATGTCATTAGATAAACAAACTTCTATTTTTTATGAGCAATAATTTTTGACATAGAAGTTGAACGACTTTTAAAAATAAGAGTACTGCTGACTTATTTTGATCAAACAATAATTTTCTGCGAAAAATTTGAACGAAATTCTGTAAACTTCCCACTTATATAACCCTTTCTAGTATTTCAGTGGATAAAAAACAGTTTTTTCTTACAATTATTGGATGCATTTGTGCCGTATTCGGGATGTATAGTGGATACATCCGAGGTGATACAGCGTCAGTTTATGGATATGAGTCGAGACATAAAAATGCCTTCACACTGATGAGTACTCTAATTCTTTACGGTATTTCAATTAATAACAATTATCTAATAATTATGCAGCTGGAATTCTAGTAGTTAATATAAACGCATAAACTTGATATGGTAAATAGAAAAACTTTATTCCAGTTTCCAATCATAGTTATGAGAAACGGATCTTTTTTCTTACAATATGACAAATCGGGATGAAGAACCATACAAGAATAATATTGCGAATAACGATATTTGCATTTGCATTCTGAAGTGTTGCCATACATCAGATTATGCAAATAAAATTATGCTTAATTTGCTCCTCATAAAAGACTTTAAGCTGCATTTATGTCTCAAGTTTATGATTGTGCATTTTGTTTGACGTATAATTAACGTAAACAATTCAGAAAATGACATGTCCTTCATAATTTTTGCTTCATAATAGGATGTCCTTCTTCATAATTTCATTGTTTATAATAAAGTTCATAAAATTGAGTCGGAAGACGAGTTTATGACTATTTCAGTTTTAATTTTTTTAAACAAATGAAATAAACTTTGAAATGCATCACCCTCAAACATTTCACGTTAACAGAAGTTTAAAACTGAAAAAATCATTTTAGCGAACGATTTTTACACCTAAGTGATTACTTTTCATCTTCACAGATTTCTTCCACCTTTCAAATCAATATAATTAATCACTATGACGGAGTATCATTACCATCACTAAGATAACTGCTAATGTTATTATCACTATCACTTTTGTCACTAATTCTCATTTATTGAGTATAATTGTCATCAGCTTAAACAACATGTGGAAGATTTTGCTGCAGTATCATGAATATATATTCATGATTTTGTCAAAACTACCATGCATTTTTCACAAGTCATCAAATTTTATTTAATTCAAATTTTTACTGAGGAAATTCAGCCTTATTACTTTTTTATAGTAATGTGCATAACATTTAAGTAAATAACTAAATTTAGCTAAATGTATTTCATAGTTCTATTGAAGCAACGATCACTGATTGAAATTTAACAGTCATATCAAAGTTATGTGCTGTTCCAGTTGGCCACTGACAATTCTGTAGCCGAGAATTCTCATCAAAATTTCAAAATTTTGTCATTTCCCTCCAAAAAATGGCATTAACTTTGCTACAAAAAAAATCTCTTTCTTGCAAACTTAAAAGTAATTGCTCGAAGTTGCTTTCAACATATGCATATTTTTATTCTAATCCTTCTTCAGTCTTTTTTCACTCATTACATAACTTTTACACAACTTGCAAAACTGAATCTAGTCCTTAATTGAGACCATTATTTTTTGTTAACTAGGCAAGCAAGTATTTCAAATACAAATAAGTCCAGACGTACAGGGAAGTAAATAATTGATGGTTAACCATTCCAAGTCTCTCTATAACCTGAGAGTCAGAAATTTGAATAATACTTTGATGCCATGAAAAAATATATTACCTTGCACGAGTAAGCCACTTCCAGTCATTGATGAGGTTAATTATATTGTAGCTCAAGTTGTTGGGCGCATACGACTCACTGAGTCATCTCAAGAAATTGTTTTAGAATAATTAATGTGCTTCAGGATTGGTGCAAATTGTGCTGAGTCTCATTTTTTTCTTCACTTATGCAGCAACAACATCAGTTGGAGAATGTAGATGGGGATGGAGAATTGTTGGCATTCTGGCAGGCTGCATAACTTATTTTATGGCTACTTTTGTCGTTGCAGCTATTGGATTTACCGGCAAGCATTTGTAAATTTATCCCCAAAATACTGTATAATTTTCCTCTTAATTATTTAATGTATCGAAAATTAAATATTAATTATTAGGTGTGAAAAATTAATCAATCGACAAATTATAAAAGATCATTTTGAAAACAACCTTTAACTAATAGGCAATTTAAGCATAAACAATTGAATTTTGGACGGGAATACAAAATAATTCAACACTTTTCGATCTCAATTTCAACTTCCACTTCAGGATTTTATCAAACGATCAAACTGTACACTACTGTTGACTACGAAGATCAACAATCTGTTTACTATGTTGATAAGATGCTCTACAGATCTGCACTTTTCATCTTCACCTTTCATTTATGTTTTGTATTTCTTAAATGCTTATGGTGGTGTCGATAACTTTGCATCTCAACACTGCTACAACCAAATCTTGTGTATGTTTACAAAATCGTCGTAACTTGATAATGTGTCACTTACAAGCATGAAGTTTAACAGTTCAGACTTGTAAAGTTCGTTCATACACCAAAGTCGATTTAGTTTTCATTCCAAGCTGATGACACCAATCTTTATAGATGATAGTAAAGTAAAGCGCAAATCTTTCAATTCATATTTATTCCTCATTCAGGCTTCACTGCCGTTATCCATGAAGGCAGTATCGTCCAAAATAATCAAATTAAACTACCTTTTAAACATCACACTGCTGAAATTTACATAGGACAGAGTTACAATAATATGATGCAATGCTAGTCTTATTGCTCACAGATATGATTGGAAGTAAGCATAAGATTAGAATACACTGAGTAACTGGAACGTGGAAAATACTAATTGCAATAATATAGCGCTGTCTAATTTCCCAAATCTCAATTCGAGCAATACACAGACAACTTAAACAGTAAATAAATGCTAGCAAGAAATAACAAACCCAAATATTGTACAGTAGGATTTAATAGTTTCATTCAGTGGTGAATAGATGAATGTTACGTGCGAAAGAAGGAAAAGGAAAAATAGACAATAAGGTCGGGTGAAAAAGACACATTTAGATGGTAGCAGACACCGAAAAGATCACTAAAAAATTGTCTCTCAAAAGATGCAGAGCAGATCGACAGGAGAAAGAATTTAATGGGCTGTGGGCCATTCTTTGTTATCAATGCGAAGAGCATTGTGGGCTAAACAATAACGACCGTTTCTGTTACTAATGTATTTGCTGTTAGTTGTGATTGTCTTGTTTCTAAGCTAGTTTCCCAAGTTTGACTTTTGTGAAGTATACTTATCTCGCAGCAGTCGTCGTCACATGATGTTGAAGTATATGGGTTTTTATCGAAGTTTTCATGCATTTCAAAAAAGTTGCATTTATTAAATTATGCTGTATGATTTGTACTTTTAATTATCACTTGGCAGTTGTCAGTTAAGCACAGCTCAGTGGATTCCTATATGTGCTTGATGGTATTTTGAATTAAATGTGCTGCATAATATCATGCTTATCAGCACTTAATATTTTATCAAGTTTAGTTCTGAACATTGAAACTATTTGATTAGTTGTGGATATTCAGTCATTTGAGGAATGTCAGCTAAAAAATATTACGATTACGCCGGCGTACGTTTAAGTATTCACCTTGTAATGTATTTTAGATTATCTGCAAAAAGGGCCAGTTACTTGTTAATTCAGTGGTAGTTTAACGGAAAGGAAGAGAATCAATAATGGCATCAACTCAACAAATGTCGAAAAAACGTAAAGCAGTACTTGATGGAATTTTTAAAGCTGAACTTAATAACTTTCTTATGAAGGAACTCGCGGAAGATGGCTATTCAGGTGTGGAAGTTCGACGAACACCCGCACGTGCTGAAGTGAGAAATGTTTTTATTTCAGCCTTATTGTCCTAAGAATTAAGGTGATATTCTCTTAATTATTCAGTCTCCTTTGTTCTTGCGAAATAACTTCATTTGTAATATTCGGAATTTCGCATCAAAAATATCACACATTTATTATATGTTTGCTTTTTATGCAGATCATCATTTTGGCCACCCGTACTCAAAGTGTATTAGGTGAACGAGGACGTCGAATTTATGAATTGACTTCGGTTGTACAAAAACGATTTGGATTTGCAGATGGGACCGTGGAAGTAGGCTGCATTTATTATCTATACATGATTTGTTATATATTCATAATATTCGTACTTTTGCACTCATCAGTTTCGGTTACTGATACTTAAAAAGTTCAAATTCTCGTTTTCTTTTAATTAATGCGTTGCTGAAACTTGAAATAAACTGTCATTAATTTCTCGTTATTGCATGAGGAAATAAAGATTAGCTGCTTTGAATTTTGTTCGTTTCGGTAAGTTATTATTTTTATATGTCTGTCGTGCTTTCTTTAGTATTGCTTTTAGTATGGAACCTATGGGGAGTATTTTTCAGCTATTTATTTCAGCTTTATGCAGAAAAAGTTACAAATCGTGGTTTATGTGCTGTAGCGCAGTGTGAATCATTACGTTACAAATTAGTTGGTGGGTTGGCAGTTCGTAGGGCTTGTTATGGTGTATTGCGTTTCATTATGGAATCGAATGCTCAGGGGTGTGAGGTAAGACAGGTTTTTGGGAAGCACTGATATTCCATCAAAACTGTACAAAGTATGAATTGTTTATGTTGGAAAGATTTTTTGGAAGTTAATGATATATATTTTGTATCTTATAGTACTTAAAAAGATGGTATTTAAAAATGAATCCAGAATTCATGCAAGAATAAAGAAATTTAATTGATTGTAGCAAGTGATTGTTTAGTGTATTGGTACTTAGTTGTCTGTATATGATACTCTCTGATGGTTCGTGTTTGCATTGTGGAGATGGAGTGTGGAAGAGCAGTGATGATATCTAATCTGACACCTCTTATGTTAGCTTCTCTCTTAGTGAGAGTTGCAGTGATTCGATTCATTTCCTGAGCTCAACTTCCACGATAATTTAGAATTGGATGAACCTAGTAATAATAGTGCATGAAATATTTTTGTATTCATTCCAGATTTGTATTATTAATTAGTGTTTTAGGTGATAGTATCGGGAAAATTACGTGGCCAACGAGCTAAATCAATGAAATTTGTTGATGGATTAATGATTCATTCTGGCCAGCCAGTCAATGACTATATTCAGCAAGCAGTGCGTCATGTTCAACTTCGACAGGGTTGGAATATTTTCTAAATTTATGCACTTCACTAGGTTTTTGTTCTGTGAAGGATATCCTGTATTTTGCTCTAAGACGGTTTTAGTAAGGGACAGCATATGTCAGAAGTTTCATTTAAAGTCTCAGTTTTTACTTTTGCTAAAAGCAACTGAGTTTTCGTTTGTAATAATCTTGTATTTCAGGTGTTTTGGGTATTAAAGTGAAAATAATGCTGCCACATGATCCTAAGGGAGCTATGGGACCACGTTCAGCGTTGCCCGATCAGATTCATATTCAAGAACCAAATGAGTCTCCGAACCCTCTCCATCCAGAATCTGAACATAAGCAAGAGGAGAAGAGTTTGTTACAACCAATGCCAGGCCAAATGACTCAAATACCAGCTTACTAAAAGAATTAAGTGGAGATGCCTATTTTGTTAAATTTAATTTGTTATTTGAAAATTTTCAAACACAAATAAATAGAATATCTGTTTGATCAAGTAGCTTTTATTTGCATCAGCAATTGGACAGTACACTCTATATATCGCGTAGTAGTGACTGAGCACTAAATATTTTCTATTAAGTTAACAGAAATAGTAAGGACTGAAGGAATTTGAACAATCATTGTTCGTTGTTAGTGTGAGAGGTAAGATGAACTTTTGGGAATTAGTTTGATGTGATAGTTTTCGTCATGATAAAAGGATGCCTAATTGAATTTTGGGTATGCAAAAGTGGAAATTAAGGCTGCGTTATTTGTGAAGATCATCAGTATCCGAGTAAGCGGCTTTCAGTTTGATTACTCTTAATAATCACTGGTAATTAGTGTAAAACCTGCTAGTTTGGCACTGCCGTTCGTGAATAACGGTTTATAACTGTTTTTGGTTATAAATGTTCAAGTTCAAGAAGTGTCTCTAATGTGGAGTATTACGGAATGGATTATTTCGCAGCGTAGGTCGAGGGATTAAAGATATATTTCATTTCGAGAGGAAGGTGGTATTTTTAGTATTTACTAAAATCAAAATTGCCATAAAGATAAGGATTAGTGAGGACAGTTTTAAAGTAAGAATTCGTTTATAAATATGATCTGAATAGTATTTTCCATTAGTTCAGATACAGTGATAGGGGTGATTACAGCGGGCAAGTCCGTTGCTGGCTTATGTGAAATTTGGTGAATGCTAGCGATTAGGAAAGGTTTTGCACTGTTATTATTTTTCTTTTGATTAAATATAAAAAGATATCAATGTGGGAAGTATGTAATGTCCAGGACAGAAACAAGTATTATTCAGATCACAATCCTGTAAAGATATGAAAAGCGTAGAAGGCGTGAGTAATTCTCGTGGTTAACGGGTTTTCCAAAACTAGATGGATGATTGTGATTCATCCATAAAATGCTAGGGCAACTTCCCCCAACTTATTGCCATTATTATTCTTAAATTAGCAAGTACACTACTAGATCTATTACTTTGTGTCCAAACCTTAGGGCTATTTAGTTGAAACTGACTTTGACACTCAGGAAATATGGAAAAGGAGTTTGTAATGGAAAAAATACAATCGAACTTTCATATTTCAAATTAATGGATCAGAAAAGATGTTCTAAAAGTTTTCTGGTTGCATGCATACATCACTGTCATTATTTTTGTTTCATTAAAGAAAGATGCGACACTTTATTAATTGTAATATAAAAGTTAACAAATTTAAGAGGACTCTTTCTGAAATAGAATAAGGTGAAGGGTTATTTGTTGAGGACAAAGTCTCGCCAAAGCCAAAATAATAGGAAATTTCGGCTGTTGGAAGCACTCATTTGACTGTAAAAATTTTGTTCAGATATGTATAGCACTTTTGATTTTGGGAGGATGAGATTAGAGGCAAAAAGTACACCTGCTTTTTGATTATTTGGAAACAACACCATTTTTTGAAAAAACTTTGACAGGATAATTTATAACAACTGCTTTATACCTATAAACCATTCCCTAGTTGAACTATCGTTTATATTTCGTTACAAAAAACAGCTTAAAAGAAAAATGCAGATGGAAGAAACTTATGAATTCAACTTATGCTTTAATTTTCCGACATCAAATTGATACGAACAGCGCCACTTCTCAATATTTCAAATTAATCAGTAAAATAATAAATGATCTCGATAACTCTTGACCCATGATCTACTACTTCAAGTAGATTCAGAAGATCAAACTATACGATCACCTTCTGCGGAAATCGAAATTTTTGATCATTATAGCATAAAGCTCTCGTACTGTACTGTAGTCTTTGTTAACTGGAAAGTAATTGCCGTAAAATGAGTTTTGCATATTTAGCAGAAAGTGTGACCATTTTTAAAGAAACAAATGAAAATTGGTTCCGCAGTCATAATTGCTTTGAACTTTGCTAGTTCAAGTTTAAACATGGTTAACATACCTTATGGTTCCTCAAAAATTTTGTATGAAGTGTTTCACTTATAGGAATGTTTGGTTCATTTGTAGTAACCATTTTCGGTACTATTTTTCTGCTTGCAAACTGCAAATCGCTTGTAAAGAATCAAACCCAAGTAGCCATTCTCAACAATTCACGAAGTATTATTTGCGTTGTTTTATAATTGTTATGGAGTGAAAGTAATTTGAACTTTTGAATTTCAATTTGTAATGTTTTCGGAGAAATTATCCTACTGCATCAAAGTAAGCTATATTAAGTACTCTAAATAGCAGCTTGAAGGAATTGATAGTAATTGATAGCTAGTATTAGCCACCCTTATATTTAATATTGATTTATACTTTAGGTGATCCTGATGCAGCAATATCCACGCTACCACTTCAAATACGAAGTGAAGTGCTGAATGAAACGACAATACCGGAAGTTTGCGTGTTGGCCAAAGTTTGTTCAAATGATTCAGATTGTGCTGAGGGTTAGCTTGATCATAGTTTGCATGATTAGTAATATAAAAACGTGTACTTTTTTATTCTCAAAACAAGTTTTTGTTTCAAAAAAAGTCAAAAGTTGACATAATTTTTGCTCAAGAAAAGTCATTCTCAAGATTGGATTGGATGTTTTGAACAAAATATAAAAGTTGGTAGTAATTTTCCGAGTTCATCAAAAAGTTTGGGAAATTTATTCAAATAACTGTCGTAAGATAAGAAAATTAACATTTCATTTTAGGCCAGTGTGTGGGTATAGCAGTTGGCAAATGCAACTGTGCAGCATGCATTCCATTTTTAAGTTGCACATCAGACATGGACTGTGGCGGTTTACAAAATTCTTGCAATAGTGAGAATTACTGTAACTGTGAGCAAGGTTAATTAGCTCTGTTAACTGATATATTGATAATTATTATTACTATCACTGTATTGCCATTTTTTGACATGATTGTCATTATACTTTTTTATTGAATAACTACAAAATAACTACTAGAATTTTATTCAGGTTATCAGCAAGCTGGTTTTGCGAATACTGTTGATGCATGGTTCAAATTGTGCAACCAAGTAGCGTGTTATAAGGACTCGGATACATGTTTTGGACTTCCATGCAACACCGGCACGTGTATCTGTCCTGTTGGGCCGGATTCTGCTTTACAAATACATTACTAATTACTTGCAAAACTTAAATAAAGATCGCAAGTAATTCGTACCTATGTTTTTCGAGCAAATGAATGCTTCTCTTCATGTGTTTATGTCATACTTTTTGGCTCTTTTTTCTACACAAAATAAAATTTTTCTATTCGACGAAGGCTTTAAAACATTTGAAAAACATTTGCTTCGACTGAGCACTAATTTTTTCAATAATTTTCTAAGCTTATTAGCAGCATTTTTAGCAGTCTTGTAAGTTTTGCAAAGTTAAATAAAAGGGTTATAGTTGTGCTTTAAGAGTAGTACAAGTTTGATAAACTTGTGTAACCAGTTGTACAACTAAGTTTTTTATTGTTGTTCCCCAAGATAAACCTAAAAAACGGCAGCACGACTACCTAGAAGAACTTATGATAGTTTTTCATAAGCAGAGTTACGAATTATTTTAATATAGAATTGCGACATTTTTACTATCATGTTCATATTAATAATTAAAGTAAGAGTTCAGCAAGCTCAGTAATTTGTGAAGACAGGGTAGACTCATATATAGCAAGCCGAAAACTAACTATAACTTTTTTGAGTGTACCAAACAATCACTAACATCGTTATGATGCACATAATGAAGTAATATCTCAAACAACGGAATCAGTACTTTCCATTTGTGTCAAATAGAAAGACAGTTGTCAGTGCGCTCAGCCGCTTCATTAATTTATGTTTATTTTTATGTGAAGTAAATAACAGTCTTATTTTGATTGCTACTATTAAAGGACTTTTTGCATGCACAAAAACAAAAATCATTAGGGGAAGTTTCCATTTATTATTTGAAGTTAAAGATGATGTTGTGATGGCATCGATGCAGGAGTGATGGGACTTAGCATTAGTTGGTTGTCAAGGTAATCTTGCCTGCAAGACTCATCCTCCTTCTGAATGTCACTTTTTTCCTTGCATAGTTATGTGAATTTTTGTGAATAATAATGCTGGTTATTTTTACATACTTTTAAAATAAACGAAACGTAGTTTACTAGCAAATGAATTTTGCTGTGAAAAGTTTATCAATCTTTTGTGTTAACGAAAAAACTTTCCTTCAAAATGTACATTTTCTGAATAAATTAATACTTGATTTTTATTTGTTAAGCATTTATAAGGACAACGATACAGTCAATGTATGAATTTTTCTGCTAATACCAAATTAGAGTAATTAATAATTGTTATGAGTTAATTTATTCAATTAAAAACTAGGTGAGTCTTAGACTTGGAGTTAATTGAAGCTTAGAGCTTGAGATAAATTTATGTAATTAGCCAAGAAGAGTTGACTAGAATCTTGATAAGAAGTAAGTAAATCAGCAGTGAGGAATGCTTGCTCTTCTTAATTAGTCTGTTAATTGATATTTTGTCTCAGATAAGTAAACTGGCAATTTAGAACTAGTTTTTTAATGCTAACCCTTCAGCAAAATGAGTGATATCGCGGAGGAGAATTCTAATGCACAAGTTCAGAAGCCGTGGCGTAGAGCGAATAATAGACGATTAGAAAAGATTCTCTTTAGAGATAAAAACAGCCCGACGATTGATCATATCGCTAATCAAATCGATTACAATAAAGTTGATTTAATTCAGAGAAAGCCTTTATCTAACCCTACAAACTTTCAATCTTCTAATCTGCCATTAAATACGATAAAAAATACAAAGTTTTTACCAGCTCAAAACTATGCAGCCTCACCTTTACAATTATTAAATTTTGAGGTGCATCTTTTTTTCTCTATTATTATTATTATTACGCAATTTTTTTCAAATCAATTTTTGTTTCGAAACTTCTGAAAACAACCAATAATAGTGACCGATAAGAGTTTTTGATGTGAATAAAAACTTTGATCAAACATTTTCGGGCTGAATTAACTTGTATTTAAATTATACTTAGGAGCAAATCAATCCCAAGCGGAATCATAATTATATATTTTGGCAAAATCAATTTTTTTCCAGTCTATGCAAGAACTACGTGCAAATATTTTGTTATGTAGCTACTTTCCATCCCAAGTAATCAAATACATTTAAATTTTTCCAAAACGAGTTTCATTTCTTAACCAAATAAGCACACTGTCTTTGAGTAAATATTAAAATAGATAAGAGAAAATTTAAGCAATAACTACCACAAGTTTGGTGTACTAAAAAGTGAACTGCTTCAGAAAATAACCAGTCGCACAAATTGCAAAATGTCGCCCAACGAGTGCAACATCACTTCTGGTAGTGGCCCCTCAAAGAAAGATGAAAATAAACCGCACAGTTTTGTCTCAAAATCTATTCCTAAAAGTAATCGCAAGGAAAAACCAAAGGTTTGCAAACATTTGATTTTCATCTCTCAATGACGCACAAACATGCACAAACTTGATGCTTGGAAACTAAAAGTTTTTTCTTGCTGAAACTAACTATTTCCTCTATTTTTGGTTTTACTTCCTACCACTATTTCTGCATATTTTGTAACATTACTTTCTTTAGTTCTCACGTTCATTTTTTAGATTCTATTATATATTTTCACTCCTTTGCTCAATGGCTGAATACATTGCAGTTTTAATCAAACTAACTTTGGTACAAAGACAGAAAATTATAGATTTACAAATTGCCTCCATCAAACAAAATATGCAGTATAAGTGACAATAAAAGTTTGTCGTCAGTCGTCGACACAGGACCACAACTATTAAACCGAAAAGTTCTGGATAAAGATCAAGATTCATATAAATCTCTGCCTGAAACTGATCTTTTATCAGAGAGACTTGACGGAAAAGTATTTAAACTCAAACCAACTGAAATCAGAACCTCTGACACCAAGCCAGTCAGTGTGGCTGAAAGCAACTTAGTTGAGATTAGATCAAGTGAAAAGAAAGCTTGTGATGCCAAAGAAAATGAAGTTAAAGTCAGTGAAGCAAAAGCAGTTGAAAGTAAAGCGAGTGAAGCAACCAAAGAGTTGCCTCCCATACCGAAGACTAAATGGAAATTTTTGCGAGCGGAATGGGTTTTAGATACGAAAGATGAATTTTATTACTACTGGCTAGGCGTAGTATCCTGCGCATTCGCTTATAATTTGCTCGTTGTAATTGGTGAGCATTTCAGCTTATTGCTTCTTGTTTTGCTGCTATACTCTTAAATTCTCTACTACATTCGTGTAATTAATAGGATGCTAGCAAGGAAGATATGATTTGTGCTTCAGAAGCTTGCAATTTATTCTTACCTTCACATTTTGCGAAATACCTCTGAATATTGATTTATCAGTGATTAGTATGTAATGCAAATTGCACAGAAATTTTTCAAAATTAACCTGCAACCAGTCTAAAAAATTCATTGATGTAATAAATGCTCCAGGTACTTTCCGCGACTTTTCAGCTCGATCTGTTTTTTTCGAGTTGGGTTCGGGTTATTATTGGATTGTTTGGTTGTTTGTGGACTTTGTCATGGATACTATTTATCTTATAGATATGTTTGTTCGTTCACGAACAGGTAGCTATTCAAAAAACGAATACTAATCGATTGCTCTCTATTTTAGAAATAAATCATTGCTTAATAAAAGGATTTCTTGCAGGCTACTTAGAGCAGGGATTGCTCGTGCGCGATATTTCAAGAATCACGAAACTTTACATAAAATCAATACAATTTAAATTGGACGTGCTCAGTTTGATTCCAGTTGATCTTGTCTTATCTGTAGTGCTACAACAACCACTACCTTATTTACGCTTTAATCGGATTATTCGGTATTCACGTTTCTCGGATTTTGTTGATCATACTGAGACCAGGTATTTTACTTTTTCAATCTAGTAATTAAGTGAATCCTAAGTTGTACAATAATATGGTAAGAATACACTTTATCTCCAAAAGTGACTTCAAAATGTTTAATCCTGGCACTACTTTTGAAAACAGTGCAGTTGAATTACACAGTGTGGTATCCTTGCAAAATAAATCATAGAACTTTTTTCCCTAAATTTTGAAGCATTATCAGGCTCTGGAAATCATTTCAGTTACGCTACAAAGAATCTTGACTCTTCACGGAAACTTATACTTGCTTAGTAAATTTTAGCAAACTGTATTTTACATTCTAGTAGAAGTCAAAATGTGCAGTTTTTCTGAGCTTTGTGAGTAATCGAATTAATAACAGATTAGTTTTATATTGAAACAAAATAACTATGGGGATGCAATAAAAGATTGTCTATTAAATTCTGTTTTCAAATAAAAAAATACACTTCAAAATAATACTGCCTAGTAAACAAGCAGTTAGATCAATTCACTTGTATTAGTATGCAACGTACTAAATTGAATGAAAACAGAGTTTCGGAAATGGCATCACTCACTGAGAGCACAAGTTAGACTAATCTTAGCTTTCATTCGAGTGAAGCTAATGCGCTTGCAACCAAAGCATAAGCTTACTTCGCGATCACTCATCCAATGTTCATACTGGCTGCTATCCATGGGAGAAATTAACATTGGTTTGTCTTTTAGGAGTTCAATGCCAAATGCATTTCGGGTATTTTGCGTTGTTGCGAATATTATTGTAATTATACATTGGAATGCTTGTATATACTTCTTTATCAGTCAAATGATCGGTCTTGGCAGTGATGGTTGGGTTTATGGAGAATTAAACAGACAAAGTTTGCCTGAGTGAGTCAATAAAATGGAATTAAAAATGTTTTGCCGAAAACTTCTTGTAGTAAAAAGTGCAAATTTTGTTTCCAAAAATTATCTCTGAAGTTAAATGCAGCATGCATTCCATTATTAGCTTATTTGTCTGCACGATACTTCATCTCTTTGCCAGCAAAAATCAAACAAGAAGAAAGAATTCCTCAAATATATTTTCAAATTCAATTTATATTTTGGATGAATTCATTATTGTTCGTAAAATATCAAACAGTAAGTAATTCATCAAAAATAATTTTAGAGGTGTTGAAGACACTCTTGCTAGACGATACATTTATAGTTTTTATTGGTCAACACTGATATTAACGACAATTGGTGAAGTCCCAAGTCCGAAAAAAAATGTTGAATTCGCATTTGTGATAATGGATTTGATGTGTGGTGTGCTTATCTTTGCTACCATAGTTGGTAATGTCGGCAGGTAAAATAATGTGATTCTGAAATTACAGAAAATAAACATTATTTCATTTCAAATTTCTACTGCAGCAGAGAAGAAAAATATGCATATTTTGATTGTCTCTAACAAACAAAAATTATTGAAATCAGCAAATGAAGCCATTTGGTGGAGTTTATTTTTCTCGTTAACATCTCAACTATTTTATTTTTGGTTACGAATTTTTGGCTTATAAGCTTCTACTGGTCAAACCAGTTTTTTTTTATTAATGAAGAAACTATTTGATGATTTTTAAAGTGTAATATCAAATATGAGTGCTGCTCGAACGGAATTTCAAAATAAAATGGATGGTATCAAGCAGTACATGGAGCTAAGGAAAGTTAGCAAGCAGGTAAGTTACATAATTAGATTACGGGTGAATTACATAATTATTTTAATTGAAATTATTCTCAAATGATCTAAAATTAAAATTAAATGAAAAGAAATAGAAATGAAAATTTGAATTGAAATAATAGAAGCTAATGCTTGCTTGCTACATTGTATGCTTACAAAAAGCTTTAAGATGGAAATATTCTTTCATTTTAACAGATAATTGCAATGAGGAAAAAGTACTAAAAATGAAGAAAGTATGAAAAGAATGTAAATTCCATAATAATTAATTTAATTCTAATTTTTTCAGTTCATTTCACTTTTTATTACATTCAGTTACCCAAAATTTTGATGTACAAACATGTTACGTTTGCTGACACAAAGTATTATCTGAAAGTGTTGAAGGTTTCAGCTAGAAACTCGAGTAATAAAGTGGTTTGATTATTTGTGGGCTCATAAGCAATCGTTGAGTGATCAAAAGGTTCTAAAGGTACTTCCGGATAAGTTACAGGCGGAAATCGCTATGCAAGTACACTTCGAAACTCTTCGGAAAGTGCGTATTTTTCAGGTAAGTCATCAGCATTCGTTCATAACGACCTTTCATTCCCTGAAGCGGGAAATGCATGCGGATTTGACTATGGAAGTTTTTGCAAACAAAAAGTAAAAGTAATGGCAGTGTTATATACTGACGATATTCTTTTCCAGGACTGTGAGGCGGGTCTCCTAGCTGAGTTAGTATTAAAACTCCAACAGCAGGTAAGACATGAAGATTTTCGAGTATGGCGAGAAGCAAAATCAAAGTAAAAGTGATAGAAATGAGCAAAGCACACAAAAGTTGCTAATTATAAGCATAATGTCAAATTTGATCGGTTCGCTTGCAGGTATTCTCTCCCGACGACTATATCTGCCGCAAGGGTGACATAGGACGAGAGATGTACATTGTCAAACATGGTAAACTGCAGGTAGTTGCAGATGATGGCATTAAGATATTTGCAACCTTGCAAGAAGGAGCTGTCTTCGGTGAACTGAGCATACTTAACATTGCTGGTTAACAATTTGCGCTTGCACTAGTCATCTAATTGTTATTTTATCCTCTAATTTCGAATCAATATAATTTAAAAAATATCAATCAGTCATTATCATACAGAGGTTTATCTTCTTTTCTGCACTATTAATTCTGACACTGTATAGTGTTCTGTCACTTTTAATGTAGTTGTCCTAACTCAGTTCTTCTGTGTCAATCTCCGTCGTTTTGTCCTCGCGCAATTCTTAGTGATGATCAAGTAAGATGCTTTCCAGTGTCTTCTTGAATACTACGTTTGGATATATGTCTCGACCTGATCAAGTATACAGATCTCCTTCGCGTATCATTTATGGAAGTTCGTTACAAATCTTCCTCAGCCATACATATGCAATTATTTCCGTTCTGAAATTCATCTCTGACTCGAATTTATTAGCAAGTATGTCATACTATCGCCTTTTCTCAGTCTCAACTGCAGTCTCCTGATCAGTCATGCTAATTTATATCAGGAGTACTTTGTGCCGGTTTTTATCGTGGATCATGATATTCGGTTCATCTGCACTTAGCTTCATAGCTGTTCTTCCTCGCATTTTGATTTCCGCGTTCACATTTGAGACAACCTCATAAATAGAATGACTCTGCATGCGTCGGAATGCTTTCAGACCTTACTTCAGACCATATATATATATATATATATATATATATATATATAT